AGCTGTCCCCGCTCCATCGGCTGCCGCCCCGCGCGCCTCTCCCACCGCGTTGCGCCACGCTCACCCCAGCAGAAACCCCGTTCCCGGCTCACCCCGACCCTGCGGTAAGGTGGGGATCCCAGCGTGGCCGGCATGGCACGGGGGAGCACGAGGGGGGCACGTGGGGGCCAGTCCTGGCATTGGGGTCGGGGGCTGCGAGGCTGCACCCACCCCTGGGGTGCTTTGGTGACCGGGGGCTGTTCAGTGCGGCTCCCTGGGGACCCCAACGCCGGTGTTCTTCGGGGACTTTTGGGGTACTGCCAGGCTGCGTGGAGGTGGGAGCACCGTGGGGAGAGGGTCTGGGGGCTCTGACCCCCATGTCTCCGGATCCCTGTGCCCACCCCGTGCTCTGGGTGCCAACGTTTCACGCTATGGTGATGGGGGGGACACAGGGGACCCCTCCAGGACGGGGCGACGTGCCCTCCCGATGGTTGGGTTGGGTTGGTGGCCAGGTCATACTTTGTGCCATACCCGGCCCTGGGAGGGGGAGTTCTGGCCACCCCGGCTGTGATCCCCCTGGGTTTCGGAGCGCGGCACCAGCCGGGGCGGTGGGGTCCTGCCGGGGCTGCCCAGCCGCTGGCACAGGGTCAGGCTCAGAATAAACCCCGGCTGTCAGGGCGAGCAGGGCACCCGGGACAGAAAATATCCCTTCCCTCACCCTGGCATTTGCTTACTGCATCGGGCTGGCCCGTCCTGCAGCCTGACTAAAGGGGCTTTTTTTGCACAATGAGTTTTGTCGGGTCTCAGCCTGGCCACCTGCCTGTCCCCAGAGCCCTGCCTATAGGCGCTGCCTGTTTGTGTACTGATCAGGGCCAGGTGGGCTCAGACCCCCATACTCGAGGGTCCTGAGCTCCCAGGGCTGGTGGGGAAGGGCACATGCTCATACACTGTGCCATGGTTCAGCGTCCTGCGTCCCAGCCCTGGCCAGTCTCACCTCTCCCTCTCTCCCCAGCCAGGGCTGCGGCTCCATGAGACATCGCCATGGCGTTTTCATCCCGGTTTGCATTCTGGGAGCAGAAGGGAAGTCTCTCGCACGTTTGCCTGCACCCCACATTCAGATCACGCTGCTGCATGCTACCGAACAGCTCCCCCAGTTTGCCCAGCACCACTTTTGGAGCAGTGCCCCCAGCCTCTCGCTGCACGGCTGTGCTGGGCAAACGGGGAGCTGCCCCACGCCTCACCGCGACACGGCTGCCGTCACCCACACATCCACGCATGCAATGACTAACACCATCACTAACGACCGCTGTGCGAGTGGTTGGTGCAGCCCCTAACACGGCGCTGCCGGCCAGCCCCGAGTGCTTGCAGGAGCGGTGCCATGGCAAGTCGGGGAGTGTTACTCGCGGGGTGCACGATGTGCTGCCACCGCGGTGCCACGGCTGAGCCCTGGAGCCCCAGAGGCACAGCCCAGGGCAGGGGAAGGGTTGGCTGCCCACCCCCCCCAGAGACCCCTGGTCGCCCCGCTCGGCAGGGAGCTGGCACGTCCCACGGTGCGGCTGCCGCAGAGATTAGCTGGTGACACTTAAAACGTGCTGTGACACCCGGCGGGGTGACGTGCAGAAAGGCAGAGCCCTCGTGGGGAACGGCGACGGGGCTCTATGTACCAGCTCACTCACCGGCTGCACGCGAGGAGGGGGCCCGGGCAGAGCGCTTTCCTCTCCCACCTTTGGGGTTTGCCATCTCTGTGCTTCCCCCCACCTTTTTCAGCCACTGGGAAGCCTGGAAGGACACACGTCCTTGTCCCTAGGGCTGCAATGGGCTGCAAATTGGGGCTGTTTCATGCAGCAGCCTCCTGCCCCCCTGGCATGGAGTGATGGTCCCGATGGCTTTTCCCACTCCCTGTGGCTTTTCCGGCAGCGAGGTCCCGTGGTGGGCTGAAACACGCTCCTCTTGTTTGTCTGACCCTCAGGTCAAGGACGAGGACAAAGCCTTAGCTGTGAAAAGACCCGGGAAGGAGGATGGGGCTGTAAGTGTTGCAGGGCACGGGCAGGGTGGAGCTGTGTCGGTGATGGGGCTCAGCCCTTGGTGGGGACAGACCCCGTGTCAGGGCTTGGGGACATCACAGAGGGTCGTGGGCTCAGCATTTTCCCTGGTCCTTGGGGAGCACCGGTGGCCGCTCCAGGGCAGCTTGTGGAGGGTGGTGGGTGTTTTTGGGCAGGGATGCCCAGCTGTCGATGCACAGTGATCTGTCCACGGGGCTTGTCCCTGCCCTGCACGCGCTGGTGGGACGGCAGGTTGGTGCCCACCCGGCGGTTACAGTGCCGGCTCCTGCGCTGCCCACCAAAGCCGTCGGCAGAGGGAATCTTGTGGCTCCGTCGGCATAGGGAATCTTGTGGCTCACCCTGTGCGTTGCAGAGAGGCTGCTGGTGCCCTGAGCACTGAGTTTTTACCCTGGTACTGGCAGCATGAGGGTCGGTGGGTCCCTGGGCACGGGGCCGGGGATGTCACCGTCGCTCCCTGCCTTAGGGTCCGGTAGGGAGCTGTAGGTTGGCTGGGGAAGGGGACTGGAGGCTGTGTCCCTCAGTGCCGGGGTTTGGCCAGGGTCTGCGCTCCTGCAGCAGGACACGAAGTCCCTGGTGTCACCATTTCCCAAGCAGAGGGTGCTTGTGGTGGCAGGCGCCGCACTGCCGGACCTCCGCTCACACCTGTGTCGTTGTGGCTGCAGTCAGAGAGCCCGAAGGATGCGGCGGCGGCACCCCTAACTCCTGGACCCCCAAATCCTGAAACCC